TCGGTACAACTCAATGGCATCTAACAACAACAACAACTTGGTAGGATGTCACAGTTCTATCTCACATCCTTTGGACACGTTATCAGGAGGGACCAGTTCCTGGAGAAGGACATCATGCTTGGTAAAGTATGGGGTCAACCCAAAAGAGGAAGACCCCAATGAGATAGACTGCCACAGGGGCACAAGTATAACAAAAATTGTGAGACTGGAGAAGGACCAGGGAGTGTTGTGTTCTGTTGTGCCTAGGCGTCTAACAACTTTGTAGAAAGGACATGAACCTATGTGATGACATTTGGAAACAGCCCAGCACAGAGTTAATACTCGGGCTAATGCGCTGGACTGCAAGATCAGTTTGGACTGCAAGGCTGGCAGTTCAAACTCACCAGCCAACCCTTGGAAACCCTACACAGGGTCGCTAGGAGTCAGAACCAACTCAATGGCACTTAAAAACAACAACAATGGTGGTAGCTGCTGCTGTTACTGTTATTATCTCTGCTTTGTTTGTTCTGGCTGGGTCAGAAGGGACTGGGGAAAGAATTTGAGAAATGTCATGAGAAGGCCTGTTCTAATCTTAGTTCCAACACTTTCTAGTGGGTGACCATGGACAATATCGCCTACCCACGCTGGGCCTCAGTTTCTCTTCAGTAAAGACAGACATTGTGCAGAACTGAGTCACCTGGAATTCCTGAACCAGGTGAAGGCCCTGGACTCTGTCGCTGGGACTTCCACTTTGACCTAGATACAGGGGTTCTATAACACCTAAAAGGCCTCTCTCCCGCCTGCTCCTCTTGCTGGCTTGTTTGATTGCGTTTTGATTGAGGTTCTGCACTGCCCTCAGTCCTCAAACCAGCCTGTGTTAAAGGGCTGAGGCTCCATCTCTGCAGAAAGCAACGTCAGAAGCAGTTCTAGCCTGGCTCATGTCTCCAGCACCTGCCCTCATCTGGCTTCTTCCATATCTTAGACACCTATAAGCCCAGTTTCCGGGACACCTAGGAGGCCACGGTTCTCACTTTTGTTCAAATTGGCTCCAAGATCATGTTGATTTCACCCTGAAAAAAGTTTCCCGACTGTGTCTCCTCTTCCTAAATCCAGGTCCCTCACCTGGGCTGTTGTGAAGCCTCTGAATTGCAGCCCTTCAATTTGCTACCAGAGTCATTTTAAACCTGTTCCTAAGTTTCTGGAAGCAGTTCACAGACCATGGGAAAACCATTCACTACTACCATGTACATTTAATGTCTTCAGTGAGCAGCCACCAGACTCCAGAGAGCCCTATTGTTCCTACCGATTCTCCTATGAAGGGTCCCTGGTGGCACAGTGAGGTAAGTGTTGGACTGCTAACCAGAAAGTCGGTGGTTCAAACACACTACCCACTCCTTGGGAAACAGATCAACTGCTTCTGTAAATATTGATAATCCCAGGAACTCTCTGGGCAGTTCTACTCTGTCTGA